CTCTCAGAACATATCCAACCGATGTGACAGAAATACCGCACAATCCCTTGAACCGTTACCTTCGCTAGTCCAACTTCCTGTCGTTGATCATTCGCAGTAGGCGAATAATCTCCATCTCAGTGTCTTCGTCTAAACGCTTTGACATAATAGCAATACTAAACTGTTCTCACGAGAGTAATTTCATTATATGTTATGGGCGTTTTTAAATATTTGTATCAACTAGGATTATTATTTTCGCAAAACGTTCAAAATAGAATTTATTAAATGAATGGGCATATGTATGCATGAAATAATAGTGTCTGATATCAACAATGAGTAAAACATGAGTGTTTGATGTTTGACTCGACGCTTACACATTGTAATAGTTGAACCCATCTGAAACCCTGACCGTTGTTTTGATTAACTGTCACCTAGGCAAATATGTAATTTTATTGTGTTTACAATGGTTACTGGATCATCTAGGAAAGTGTCTGTGAATGTTCCAAAATTCCTTTGGTAATTACCTACCATGTGCAGGACTTAGGTGTATGTAAATATCTTGCGCTCGCTGTAAATTATTATTTATTTTTACTATTAGCTTATTTTGCATACAATTACTAGAATACATGTATTTATCAATGTTACCTTGTCTAGGACATGGATCTTTATTACATGTTTGTGAGGTAGTAGGTTTTTCTGATGCGATACAACTCGTAGCTAAACCTCCTTGGTTTGTAGATCTACATGTTACTTGTCTTGCCTGAAATCCACCACCACATGTCTTTGTACACTGTCAATATAAAATTATTTCCATCAACAACTTATGACATAAGTGAATACAACATAAATCTACGTTATATGTGATGAAAATCTGATTCTGAGTAAGCTCAGATGTGCTATGTATGTGTTTATACTAACCACTAAACAAGAATTGAAAATTAATGTACAATCCCTGTTTGGTAGTACCAGTAGTTAATATCAATGTTCAGAATAGTATATTAACTATTTCACCACCAGTTCCCTCTTTTCATCACAAATTCACAAAATAGTCCTGTTTATAAGCTTCCTTTAGAAGATTAGGACAAAAATAGCCAAACTTTTTTGGAGAAAAACCGAAAATTTATTTAATTTGTTTCTGTTGAATCCAAAATTAGGGTTCATTTTCAGAAATATTGAAGAATATAAGAAAAAGTGCAAACAAATGTGGGTGAGAAAGTCTGGTGGTGAAAAGGTTAAGAAGTGCATAGACTGACAAAATGTAAGTTGTTATGATCACGCATACAGAGAGAAAAACTAGCATGGATACCACAAACTAACTAGTCGGTAATTTTTCGCCAAAATCTAAAAAAAAATATGACGTGCACCTGTAACCCAATATGAATGACAATGTTCAATACCTGTTTTGTACTAATGCTGAATTCCATCATTAGCAGCAATCCAGTGTGGTTGGTTGTACATTTACATGTACAATTTGGTTAAATACCGGTAGTGCACATTTTTTTTTGTACTGAAATTAGCTGAGTATATTTGGTTGAATCACTAAAAATGTAATGTGCAACCTAAATCCAATATGTAGTTTGAACAAACTCATGCAAGCCATCTTAGAGATGCAGTTGTTAAAATGATATGCACTGGAGTGCCTTCCAGTTGTGATAACACTTTGTTGATGTCATTAGATGTTTTTACAAGTCTTGTTTTTGTTGCTACTTATATACGTCAAGATTGAGAACAAAATGACAATATATTTGTTAGTGATTACTTACCCCTTGCCATGGTGCAGCAAACCAATTAGTTGTGCTTTCTTCATTTAAACAATTGGCTATATTACATGGTTTTTGAAGAGATAATTGGGGTTTCTGTTGTTCTTTGCATTTCTCATCTGGAAGTTCTCTATATTGTCCATGTGCATCAAGGTAGCTGCATTTGATGAGTCGTTTACGATGACCCAAACCACAGGTCTTGGAACACTGTTCATGTAAAAAAAATTTGAAACTGGACTGCAATTGCTCTAATAGAAGGAGTAGAGTGACAAATATTCACTGTGTTTTATTTTAGTGCAAAATTTTGAATTTGACCTCAAAAATGTACATGATGACCTGCTTCAAGATCTCACTATGTGCAATGTATGTACCAAGTTTGAACGAAATCCTTTCATACACAACCAAGATTTGATTTTGATGAATTTTAAGCATAAAAATGATGGCTATTCAACCATCTTGAATCAGATTGTGAAACGAATGAACGTGCATGAGAACAGACAATTTCATTATAATATTATTTCACTGTTTTTACTACAACAAAGTTCACTCTATTTTTTCTTTCATCAAAAAACAAAAACAAATATTTGTGTA